AAAAGAAAAACTAACAATGAATCTTGAGCTACAAAAGATAGTTCTGAAGTGGTCACCCCTGAATTGACCGATGCTGTGACAATGCTGAGACAAAACAGAGAGAAAAATAAGCAACATTAACATCTTCAAGAATACATAAATTACGCTAAAATAATAATAACACGTGACACAATTGTCAAAATAGCTTAAATTCATATTACATTAGTATTTGATACTGTGCATTTGCACTAGAGGTGCAAACGAGCCGAGCCGAGTCGAGCATTGGCATTATCGAGCAGCATTGAATTTTTTTTTCTGCTGCTCGAGCTCGAGCTCGACTCGATAAAAAAAACAAGAGCTCGAGCTCGACTCGAGCTCGACTCGAATTCAAAATGCTCAAGCTCGGCTCGAGTTCGGTTCGAACTTTTCAAACAATTTTGTAAAATAACCATAAATACATATATGTACAAGGGTATTTGAGTAATTTCATATATCTCGAGCCGCTCGACAATGTAAAATATGGGCTCGAGCTCGACTCAAGTTCGTGCTCGAGCCGAGCTTTGACTCGAGCGCTCGCGAGCGGCTCGACTCGTTTGCAGCCCTAATTTGCACAGATATAAAACACGTTTTTGTTTGTATTTATTAATTAGTCATGTACCTCTATCATATAAAAACTATTACTTTTTCTTACGTTATTTTTATCATTTAAAATTAATTAAGATTTAAATTTAATTTAAACCATGCACCGTTTACATTAGTAACATGAATAAAACAATTTATATATTTGTGGCATATATTAAGAAAATTAACATAAATAAAAAAGAAAATTATTGGTGTTTTTGATTTTTAGAATAAAAAAATATGTGTCAATCATATTTTTCTTCCAACAATACAACTAAATATAGCGGTTACACCTCTGAATGTGCCAATCAACTTTAAGTTCCAACATTAACCGTTACACATTTGAATATTTTGCTACCAAATATAGTATTAATTTAGTAATTGATTCAAAAAATAAATAATAAAAATATATATATTAAGGTGTAATGGTTTTAACAAATTATTGAGTAATTAATTAAAAAAATGTAACTCCTTCTAGAGAAAAATAAATATAAATTTTATTAAATATTTTAATAAATGTATCAAGTAATTATATATATATATATATATATATAGATTATCATATGAAAAACAAACAAGAGAAGATGTAAAGAAGAGCATTAATAATTGAATACCCATGAAGCTTGTTGTGTTTGGCGCGAAGGATATTTCCAATGCCGAGAGCATCTAAAGCCTTCCAAGCATTGCTCCACATTATGAAGGCAAATCCTGTTGTTCTCAACTCATCTGCTGACTCCAAGACTAAGCTCTTTATTCCCAACCTATATATATTGGTTAAATTTCGGTTAAAAAACCGAAATAACCGACCGAAACAGAAAGTTCGATTCGACTGTTTTTCATATATATATGTCGGTTCGATTACCTGTGAAGCCCCAAAGATGTTGCAAGGCCTGCTACTCCACCACCAACAATCACTATATCCTCTTGGCTTCCCATAATATATCCCAAATACTTTTGTTTTCAAAGATTGTAACAATAATGGAATATTAGTATTATTATGATCAAGTTGATTTTAATTGTGATACTTTTGTTTTCAAAGAGTTCAGTATAGATTTTTTAGAATATAGTGCAAGAAAGAAATCACTGGATTTATAAGCATATATAGAATAGATGAGGATGAAGCTTATGACCGACTTCAGCTTCTATGAGTCAAATTATTTTATTCAATTGTACCAAAAAAGAAAAATAAAAAAAAAAGAACATATTGTATTCAAATTGTATCCAACTAGATTAATTGCTAGAGGACAAAATATACTAATTATTGAGCATTTATTTAACAATATTCCACGTCATCGATCATATAATACATGACAATCTTGATTTCTATTATTGTTTTTTTTTTTTTAATCAACACTCCATAACCGCGACCCTAAGGGTCCGACTGGCCCGTGAAGCGGCCTCCTAAGGGCCGGTTCGTTGAACTGGACCCTTAGGGTCGCGGTTCTGGCCCGGTTTCTTGAGAATGTTAATTTTATTCACTCTCGTCAGGTTAACCTTCACTCAACTGGGGTCTCGGGTCGGACAACGGGCCACAATATTTTTTTTAAGGGCTGAAACCGCCCGAAACATGTCGGATCGGTGAGCTGACGGTTCAGAGTCGTTTCTATGAAATGGCCCATATTGAGAGTCGGGCCGGTCACGGGCCATGAGTTTGAGGCCCATGGGGCCCGACCCGACAAATGGCCACGCCTAGTACTAAGGGTGTGATTGTATACAAATTAATACATATTCGCTCAGAGTAAGTTTTTTTGGATTAATTATAGTTAATATTAAAAAAAAAAGTTGTATGGTTATATTGTTAATGAAATCACAAACAAATATGCATTAGGGATAACAACAATGCATCATGATTTGATCTAATGCATTGTTGATTTTCTTATCATGATTATGTTTTTATTGTAATTATATTTGGTTTTATTCATTTAATTCCAACTCTAATGAATGGAGCCATGGCATGCACATGCTGATAGAATAAAGAGAATTAAATTTATTAATAAATAATAGCAACACATTGTATACAATTTGAACTTGATAATTAACCACTACGGAC